AGTGTTCACTTCCCTGGTGTTCACTAATATAATTAGTGTTCACTTCCCTGGTGTTCACTAACATAACTAGTGTTCACTTCCGTGGTGTTCACTAACATAACTAGTGTTCACTTCCCTGGTGTTAACTAACATAACTAATGTTCACTTCCCTGGTGTTCACTAACATAACTAGTGTTCACTTCCCTGGTGTTCACTAACATAACTAGTGTTCACTTCCCTGGTGTTCACTAACATAACTAGTGTTCACTTCCCTGGTGTTCACTAACATAACTAGTGTTCACTTCCCTGGTGTTCACTAACATAACTAGTGTTCACTTCCCTGGTGTTCACTAACATAACTAGTGCTCACTTTCTTGTGTTCACTAACTCAATTGGTGTTCACTTTCATGGTGTTCACTAACAAATAGTGTTCACTTCCCTGGTGTTCACTAACATAACTAGTGTTCACTTTCCTGGTGTTCACTAACATAACTAGTGTTCACTTCCCTGGTGTTCACTAACATAACTAGTGTTCACTAACATAACTAGTGTTCACTTCCCTGGTGTTCACTAACATAACTAGTGTTCACTTCCCTGGTGTTCACTAACATAACTAGTGTTCACTTCCCTGGTGTTCACTAACATAACTAGTGTTCATTTCCCTGGTGTTCACTAACATAACTAGTGTTCACTTCCCTGGTGTTCGCTTCCCCGGTGTTCACTAACATAACTAGTATTCACTTCCCTGGTGTTCACTAACATAATTAGTGTTAACTTCCCTGGTGTTCACTAACATAACTAGTGTTCACTTCCCTGGTGTTCAATAACATAACTAGTGTTCACTTCCCTGGTGTTCACTAACATAACTAGTGCTCACTTCCCTGGTGTTCACTAACATAATTAGTGCTCACTTTCCTGGTGTTCACTAACTTAATTGGTGTTCACTTTCCTGGTGTTCACTAACATAACTAGTGTTCACTTCCCTGGTGTTCACTAACATAATTAGTGTTCGCTTTCCTGGTGTTCATTAACATAACTAGTGTTCACTTCCCTGGTGTTCACTAACATAACTAGTGTTCACTTCCCTGGTGCTCACTAACATAACTAGTGTTCACTTCCCTGGTGTTCACTAACATAATTAGTGCTCACTTTCCTGGTATTCACTAACTCAATTGGTGTTCACTTTCCTGGTGTTCACTAACATAACTTGTGTTCACTTCCCTGGTGTTCACTAACATAATTAGTGTTCACTTTCCTGGCGTTCACTAACTCAATTGGTGTTCACTTCCCTGGTGTTCACTAACATAACTAGTGTTCACTTCCCTGGTGTTCACTAACATAATTAGTGTTCACTTTCCTGGCGTTCACTAACTCAATTGGTGTTCACTTCCCTGGTGTTCACTAACATAACTAGTGTTCACTTTCCTGGTGTTCACTAACATAACTAGTGTTCACTTTCCTGGTGCTCACTAACTTAACTGGTGTATGTGTGTGTGGGGGGGGTGTTGTGTTGTGTGTGTGTGTGTTTGTGTGTGTGTGTGTGTGTGTGTGTGTGTGTGTGTGTGTGTGTGTGTGTGTGTGTGTGTGTGTGTGTGTTGTGTGTGTGTGTGTGTGTGTGTGTGTTAGTTACCATTTTGTCCTAGGCACATGTCGATTAGACACTAGGCCTGTTGTACGTGTGTGAGTATCTGTGTGTGTGAGTGTGAGTGTGAGTGTGTGTGTGTATGGTGAGAGTGGCATTGTGCCTGCGTGTGTACTCACCTAATTGTGGTTGTAGGGGTCGAGACTCAGTGTGTGTGTCTCCGTGTGTGTGAGTCTGCGTGTGTGTGTGTGTGTGTGTCTGCGTGTGTGTGAGTCTGCGTGTGTCTGTCTGCGTGTGTGTGTATCTGCGTGTATGTGTGTGTGTGTGTGTGTGTGTGTGTGTGTGTGTGTGTGTGTGTGTGTGTGTGTGTGTGTGTGTGTGTGTGTGTGTGTGTCATCTTACTAACGCGAGAGTGAGTGTAACATTAACAATCAGTCAGCACTGTACAGTAACAGAGCTATGCTCGTAACCTACGATAAATACAAATTCAACACAGTCATTTTAAGGAGACATTGGGATAAGCGTTCACCGGACTGCAACAGTACACAGCCAGTCATGTCAAGATCAACATTATGAAGTAGCTTTGTCTTTGGTGGGCCAATATTAGTAGCAAAAAACTGGGAAATCAACATCTGAAGTTCCCCCACTACCTTCTAATATTCCACTACGATCTTCATATATACGAAATTGAAGACACAAGAGTTAAAGAAAACCATGAGTTGAGTGAAATAAAAGATGAAGTCAAAAATGGGAGTGCGGGAGCTGGAGTGGACGTCTGTGGTGCGTCAATAAAGGAGACTCACAAAGCAAAAACGTTGAACATAAACAGTAAAGGTATAATCTATCTTTTTTATGGGGGAAACAGGAAGACGTTTAGCGGTTACAAGTGTGAAGTTCCCAGGAGAAAACTCTCGTCGCTCACACATTACCTATATTCTTTACGTATTTATTTTTTTTTATATTATTATTGGATATACAAACTGTAAATATCCTCCTTTAGCCAACACACAAATCCTCCCAGCAGGACCGGAACATTTTTCACATTTTTGCCTAGAAATTTACCCCAGGATGCTATCCCTAACAGCTAACTAGCACCAGGTACACATTTACACTGTTAGGTGATTATTATGTTTATGGGAAGGAATCACTGCAAGATGAGCAGAGGCAACAAGAGTGTAAAGAAACTTGACCATATGTATCGCCGAGTCCGAGAATCAAACTTGGGACTGTTTGGGTGATACGGCCTCACAATATTCAGACGTAAGGTATCTGTGTCGAAATGTTTTCGCCTTTAAAGTAGGTTTTCATTCTCAGAAAGTGCTTGATAGAAGGGGACCACTTGAAGCTGGCTCTAATCACCATTTCATCTTATAAGTTTTGAAGTACAGTCACTCAGTCTGGTCACATATAAGATTGTTCAAATGTCTGGAAACGACAGATGAAGCCTACTGTGAGCGAAATTTCCTATAATAGATAGCCTCTTGATATTGTCACCTGAACAACGCGGTATTAGATATACCATGTATAAATTGAAACTGGATTGGGGGTTGTGTGCTAATTTCCCGTGACAAGGACTCGCAGACAAGGTGTTGTGGGAAAGATGGATTCGGAGCTTAAAGGGAAAATCATGTTATTTTAACAGAGTTGTGTCCAGTTAGAACAAACGCTCCAGTTACATTTTAACGATCTGAAACGTGTGTGCGTTTTAAAACATATTAGATAAATACATGAATGCTTGGAAAGTGAGTGGTGTGTGTTTGAGGTTTGGACCTGAACTAGATTGTGGGTTTAAAATAGGTCTGATGCCCGCTGTTTCTTAAAAATTTTTTCTAAGGCGGTTAAAAGTGAAGTGAACCTCTTTTACTAAGTTGGGTATAAAAGGAGTCATAGTTGGGGTGGGGGGGGCCAGCGGACTAGGGACCGTGCTTCTGCGCAGTGGGTCAGTATGGGCCTGGTTGTGCAGTGTTCCTTCCTTCTTATGTTCTTATGTTTCAGGCTGGACGACGACTTGACTATTATTATTATTATTATTATTATTATTATAATTATTATTCTTGTTGAGAAGGGGTCATACAGCAAAGGAGAAACGAAAGATAATCAGATTTAATGTTATTGTGAATACGAGAGCAGAGAGAGAAAAGTTTGTTGAGGAATGACAAATTCAGAAGAAATGAGGAGAGGAGACGCACGCGAGAGGAGACATCAAGGAGACAGGATGCCGTGAAGACTCAGTTGACTCAGTTGGCAGCTATTACACATGAAAAGGACGAGTGAGTAAGCCTATTAAGGTGTGAAGGGTGGGAGCACGTGAACGCCCACACCCACCCCCCAAGTATGGGCACACACACAAAGACAGTTTAATGCGAGGCTTTATGATCGACGTTTCGCCCACACAGTGAGATTGATGAAGTCACATTATCAATAAAGGATCGCATCACATTGCATTTGTTTCTGTTTTAATCACAGTGTCGAAATTTTATTATAATATTATATTTGTGTCTGTTTTAATTATCGTCTCGATATTTTATTATATTGCATTTGTGTTTGTCGATATTTTATACTATTTCTTTCCACAGTAGAGCTGTAGGAAATCTCAGTGGAGAGTGAAGGTCTGTCTGCCACCTGTCCACATTTTTACCTGTTCATTTCCTTCGACAGAGATCAATGCCGCTCATCCCAAGAGATGCCTCGTGACCTGAACGAATTCGGTGCTTTACCACAAACATTATTACAATAATAATTTGCTACATTCAACAGACTCGCTTTCCAATATCTCTGCACAATTTATGTTACATTTTTCTCATTTCTTTTTTTTTATTCTGGTGATCGAGGTGGGTATTTCTATAACTCTCTTACTCCCGCGAACAATGCACATTTATATATTGTTGGGTATAAGACACAAAATGCTAACAGGACGTTCTATTGGAGACATTTCTGATAAAATGTCCTGGTGTTTGCATTCTGCACCTTTATCCAATAATGTTTTGGTATCGCATGCCATTTTTTACACGTGTATGGTGTACATAAGTGCACTTATACATTTGCATGTGCACGAATACATACAGATGAATGTAGAATATGGTTCAGAGAACAGACAAGTTGATAAATTAGACACATGTGCAACCCTTGTGTATCTTTATTGTGGAAACGTTTCGCCACACAGTGGCTTCATCAGTCCAGTACAAAGAAGAATGGTGAAGATCAGGAGTTTGAGGTAATCAGTCCCTCGGCCTGGAGTCGATGTAATTGCTCTATAAATCTCTAGCCTAAGGGACTGATTACTTCAAACTCCAGATCTTCATCACTCTTCATTGTACTGGACTGATGAGGCTACTGTGTAGCGGAACGTTTCCACAATAAAGATACCCAAGTGTCGCACAAGTGTCTAATTTATCAACCTGAGATGAGAAAATAAATTTCCAGACCGCTGGCTGCTCACCTTAGACACGAGGACCTTCTTGCCAGCACTGGTGCTCTGTACGATGAAGAGCGACGCTCCGTCAGCACTCAGCAGCAGACTGAGGTTAATGATGATCTTGTGTGTGAGGCCCTTTAGATCCAAGTCGTTGGCGATGTCCTTCACGATATCGAGAAAGAAATCCTTCTCATCCTGCGACCTCAGCTGCTTCTTGCGGTCGAGGGTGATGCTCTCGAAGCGAGGGAGGCGAACCTTGGACTCGATGAGGAGACACAGCATATAACTAGACGAGGGAGGCAGGGAACTGTACTTCCTCATCGCT